TGTTTGCCTAAAGTCAGCCTCCAACAAAATACAAGCTCTTGACAGTTGCTCAGTGGATTACTAGGAAAGAGAGGAAGTGAGGAAGGAAGGGGAAAGGAAGTGAGGAAGGAAGGGGAAGCGGGGGAAGCCACCCCGTCCACCAGCGACACCAGGCCAGGGAGCACATCTGCTTTAGCTCACGGCTGCGTCTGTGCACCCAGTGGGCACTCGGTCTGTGTGTGGTCAGTGTTCGGAATGAATGAAAGAAGGCACCAGTGAACTTCGCGGTGCTCCCAGAGTCTGGAGAAGCGGGGTTTTATTTCGTCAGAACTCCTGACCCCTCTCTCACTCCTTCGGGAAATCTGCTCTCCAGTGCTCGACTCCCCCGGAGTCAGGAGGCACAGCTGCTTCTCCTCTAGAGGTATTTGAGCTTTAAATCGGAGCTGCAGCCTTGCCCCTGTTAAAAGCAGCATCCCAGGCAGCCGGAAGAACATGGAAAGTGAGGCCGAGGCTGGGGTGGTGCCAGTAAAAGGCTATGTGACTCTGCGTGGGTTGCTGGCCCTCTCCGGTCCCCCGAGTCCTCGTCTGTAGGGAGGGACTCTCCATACCCCCTCAGGTATATCATGGGAATTCATGAACTCACGAATAAAGAATTGTCAGCTGAAATGGTTAAGCGGCTGCCTTTGGCACAGGTCATGATCCCAGCTTCCTGGGATCGAGCCCCACATCGGGCTCCTGGCTCAGCAGGGAGCCTGCTTCTCCCTCTGCCTCTGCCTCTGCCTCTCCCCCTGCTCGTGCTCTCTCTCTCTATCTCTGTGTCTCAAATGAATAAGTAAAATCTTTAAAAAAAATTGTCAGCTGAACATCTCTCTCTCAAATCACTTGGAGTCTTTGAAAAAGCAAACAGCCTTTTGTGCTTCCCCTTTTTTAACCCACTTTGAATGTGGCCCGCAGGTGCCTGCCCCCTTCTAGCTTTGATCATGGGGACACCATTTTTGGGGAAGCTGGTGCAGGAAAGGGCCCCATTGGGTCTCTCAGTGCAGTAAGAACCTTGTAAAGAGGTTCAGCCGGTTACCCCATTGCCCATTCCCCCACTTGGGAAAGCTGAACAAAATCCCAGCCTCCCCATAAATCCCAAACAGCTGTGGATTTCAGAGAGGAGGTGGGCAGGCAGCGGCCCCTTGTGTTCCCTTACCCCCGGAGGAGGCAGGCCCATCTCCCTGGAGAGACCCCGGGGGGGACAGGAACAGGCCAGCCCACTGACACAAGCAGGTGCCCCAGTTCACTTTTGTGGAATTGAGCTGGATTCGTGCTCCCTGCAGCCAGGCCTCTCCCCCCGGCCCCCACTGTGGGGCAGGGAGGCAGACGGACACGTTCCCATTTTCAAGAAGTGGAAACAGGTTTACAAAGGAAAGGTGACTTGCCCATGGTCCCCTGGCTTCGCACCTGCAATGCTGCAGGCCCCCACAGCTGGGTAGCGCCGGCTCCCCCTGTTCTGAGGGTGGCCCAGCACCCCCAACCCAGGCCAGCCGCCGTGGTGGAAGAGAATGCGTGTTCAGAGCTGGGGCAGGTCAACGTTCTCGCGGGACGGTGTGAGCTCAGGAGGGGAAACCGAGGCCAGAAGACACGCAAGCGGCAGCGAGGGGTAGCCCGTGAGCAGAAGCCCAGCAGTCTGTGGGAGAGAGCGCAGGAGCTCCTGGTTGGAACTCCCCACCCCGGGGGTCTCCCGGGCTCTTGAGAACGGACCCCAGCCACCAGGTCTGTACCATGTGACCCCCCGGCCGCCTCTGATTGGCCCAGAGCAAGCCCATCCAGCTCCATCTCTGGGGTTGCTGAGCAGGAGAGGTCCCAGACGGTGGTGGTCGTCTGCTTTGTGTGGCTTCGCAGGCGTCTGCCTCCCGCGGTGCTGAGACACATTGTAGGTGCACAAGCGCCCGGTGCGCCCAGGCCTCCTGGGACCCTCCGTGCTAAAACCGGGAAAGTCCCAGCAAACCTGAGCAGGGGACGGGCAATGTGTCACCTGTCACGAAAGATCCCAGATGAGGAGTTCCCTGACCCCACTCCTAGGGGGCCAAGGCCTGGGCGAGGTACAGAGTGGAGTAGTGTCTCCTCCAAACGCACATCCACCTGGAAACTCAAAATGGGAGCTTATTCGGAAATAGGGTCTCTGCGGAGGTGATGTTGAATTCAGACGAGGTCACGCTGGATTAAGGTGGGCCCTAACTCAATGGCTGGTGTCGTTATAAGAAGATATGCGGGGCAACTGAGTGGCTCAGTCGGTGAAGCACCTGACTCAGCTGGGGCTCAGGTCGTGATCTCGGGGTCCTGGGATCGAGCCCCTTGTCAGGCTCTGCACTCAGCACGGTGTTGGCTGGAGATTCTCACCCTCAGCCCCTCCCTCTGCCCCTCCCCCGCACGTGCTCATTCCCTCGAAATTTTTTTTTTTAAGGTTTTATTTATTTGACAGAGAGAGAGAGACACAGCGAGAGAGGGAACACAAGCCGGGGGAGTGGCAGAGGGAGAAGCAGGCTCCCCGCTGAGCAGGGAGCCCAAGCGGGGCTCGATCCCAGGACCCCAGGATCATGACCTGAGCCGAAGGCAGACGCTTAACAACTGAGCCAGCCAGGCGCCCCAAATCTTTTTTTAAGGAGGAAAACAAAGAGAAAGTGGACACTGGAGGGGGTCAGCCACAGACCCAGGGACCTCTAGAGCCCCAGGAGCTGGGAGAAGCTGGAAGGACCCTCCCCTGGAGCCTCCAGAGGGAGTGCAGCCCCACAACACCTTGATTTCATGCTTCTGGGTTCCAGAATTTAGGAGGATGAATTGTTTCACGCCACCCAGTTTGTGGTACTTGGATGTGGCAGTCCCAGGAAACTCCCACAGATGTGGACCCAGATCGGCCACTGTTACGGGTTGAACTGTGGTCCCCGGAAAGATATGTGGAGATTCCAGCCCCCCGCACCTGTCCAAGGACAAGGGGTCACAAGTTTGGTTCCTGCTGAGGGAGAACGTGTCCCAGGCTCCCCCACCTTCACGGGGCTTCTCCCTGCCTGTCTGGGCCCACGGGTCCCCTTTTTATTGTCATATTGGATTGGAACCACTCTATGCCTTATGGTCTCACCTTCCCTTGAAAAATTACTCCCATGACCCTGTTTCCAAAGAAGGTCACCTCCTGGGGTCCCGGGGGCTAGGTCTTCAACATATGAACAGAAGGGTACACAATTCCCCTCGTTACAAAACACACAGAGGTATGCACACATCCATACACGCACACAGACCGGCACCCACTGCGCTCCACCTGAGCGCAGAGCCCAGGCCCTCCATCGCCCAAACACGGAGGGACAGCCTGAGACACGGTCTGTGCCTTCCGAAGGGTCCCAGAGGGGCTGAGCCTCGGCGGCTCGCGGCTGTGACTGGCTCATTGACGCCTCCCTACTGACCCCTGCGCACTTGTCTCAGTAGACCTTTTGCCCCCAATCTTTACATTGGGCCCAAACAGGCCACAACAGAGAGAACCCACCCACCCTCTCTGAAAAAATGAAGAATGCCACTCATCTTTTTCTAAAAAAAAAAAAAAAAAGAAAAAAAGTTACTTTTTTAATGTTGAAGCGTAACGAACAGATTTTTAGATGACATTAACAAATGTTTTTAAATTTTGTCTTAAATTCTAATAGAGTATTAGTATTCACCTGGGAGAGGCAGGGAGGGCGCTTCCCAGGAGGCTGCAGGGGGGACACCGCCCCGTGAACACCGACAGCTCTGACATCTGGCCCCCAGGATGCGGGAGCACTGAGCCCCCCAGTCCGTGGTCCTAGGTGATGCGGCCAGCATCCTGCTGTGAATCCCAGCTCTGCCCCCAAGAGGGTGGGAGGAGAGACCCCTGTGGCTTCAACCCTGAGTCTGTGGTTCTTTGATGCGGCCGCCCACACAAAGGGTCCCTTTCTCAACTTGGGCTTTGGCCTCTCAACTCCAGCCCCATCCTGCGTCCTTACAGGTCACCTGGGAGCTCAGGGCACACACATCCCTGCACCCGGGCCCTGTTTCCCCCCTTCCTGCCCTGTCACCAGTCCGGTCCCCCCACCCAGCCCAGGGACACCCACTCCCTGTCTACCCCTGCAATCCACGTCCCACTCATCAACAGGTGCGTCCCCACAGCACACCCCACCCCACATCCTCATGCACTGCTCTAGCATCTGCGGGGGCCTTCCTGGGGCAGCCTCAACCCTAACCCTCACAGCTCGGGAGGGCACAGCCCAAGAAGCGTTGCAGGGCTGGTTCCTGCTGAGGGAGAACCTGTCCCAGGCTCCCCAGCTTCGGGGGGGGGGCAGGGGTCCACCAGTCATCTCGGCATGCCTTCGCCTGTAGAAGCATCACCCCCCGTCTCGGCCCCGTCTCCACAGGGCTTCTCCCTGCCTGTCTGGGTCCACACATCCCCTTTTTGTAAGGACACCTACCATTGCTTTAGGGCCCACCCTACTCACCTTAACCAAGTACCCTTGCGACCGCCCCATTTCCGAGTAATTTCCCGTTCTGACCTGCGGGGCGCTAGGATGTCAACACGTGAATCTGGGGGGGGGTTGGGGGAGGGCACAATGCAACCCGTGCCATTTGCTTGGGGCTCAGTTTGGTCTCTGTGGATCTAGTCTCCCTCCTGTGGTGGCAAAGCGTCCCGTCCTCCCTCCCGTGTCCACGTGGGGCGTCCACACCGTGAGCCCTGGGGAGGCCCCTGCAGCTGGGCTTCTGTGAGGTCCTCCTGTTTCTCTTCCAGCCACGTCTACTATTTTTTCCTTTGGGGCAAGTGATACTGGTTTCTCATTTTCTGTACACTTCCCTTTTTCAAGTTAAAACAGTGGAGCATAAAAAAAGCAAGTTGACTGAAAGGAAAAGCATGAAGTAAACGCACTGTGGTGGCTCAGAGGACATGAGGGCGACGCTGTGTGGGGCAGGGTCACAGGCAGGGGCAGCACGTGGCTAGGGCCACAGACGCGCACGCCCCTAACAGCCCCGCAGAGGCCCCGTGATGCAGGAAGGACTATAGTGTTTATTTCCAGGACACTCTCCCGTAACAAAACCCACTACGAAGTAACAAAGGTGGATGCGCATGCGGTTCTCCCACCTGGGGCCACACCTGCTCAGTCCCGCACGCAGCAGGGGACGCGGCCCCACGGTCAGTGCAGCGCATGCCTCTCGGTCGCAGAGGCTGGCTAGGGGGCGTTCAGGGACACCCGGGAGACCTACAGCTTGAGACCCGAGGGGACCCAGGCCCGGGCATGTCCTCAGGAACCACGGCCACCTTGGGACACCACATGGCGCCCAGCACGAGCAGCCAAAGCAAGCATGGGTGTGGAGTGCAAAGAACAAGGCTGGCTGGTCCGGGCTTTTGGAGAGGCTGGCGTCCGGCGTGGCAGTGTGTGACACAGAGGGTCCCTGTCCTACCCCGAGCCGGCCAGCCGGGAGCCGAGGGGCAGCATCCGGGGCGGCTGGGGAGCCTGGCCAGCTAGGGCTAGGAGGCAATCAGGGCTCCTCCGGCCGGTCAGCTCACAGGCGTGCTGCTGAGATCCCCGCGGAACATTCCAGTCCTTCATCTCAGAAGGAGCTACGAGAGCCGGAGGGAGGTGACCTATCGTTTAGATTGCTTGCTAAGGCACAGGTGTGTCACATCTTAACCTCTAGAAGGCCACTCTCCTGAGAAACCCAGCCTCCTGCTTCCTGCAGCTCGAGGGAGGGCTGTGTGGCCGCGGGCTCCGAGCGGCCGGCCCACCCCGCTCTGCCTGCTGCTGAGGCTTTCCCTGCGTTTGCACAGAGGGGAGATCTGGCCCCGGCCCCCCAAAGGGTTCTGCCCCTGCCTTCAGATCCCCATGGCCCCCGTCCCCCAAAGGGGTTCCGCCCCAGCCTTCAGATCTCGACAGGGGTCCACTCGACGTTCCCATGAAGACAACCACTGGGGGCAGGAAGGCCAACGGCCCTGCACAGAGCCCATGGGGCAGACGGACAGATGGACAGGGGCTCAGATCATGGTGCCCAGGCGGCTCATCAGCCTCTGGCCGACCCCGCAGGGCTGTCCACAAGAGCCCTCTGGCTGCAGGTGGACAGGGACACAAAGTACAAGAACACAGAGGACCCGGCCAAGCCCCTCCATCGCCCATGGGGACGGGAAGGAGAGAAGAAGGGCTGAGGGTAACGCCCTGGTGGAGTCCCTCTCTGTGCCATCAGCTCTGGAAGTCAGGCGGCCGGCCTGCTGCCCCTTCTCCCTGGGGAGGCCTGTGGGTGTCCAGAGACCTCCAGAGGAAGGGGTGTGCTGTGCAGCATGGGGGGCGTCCTGCCGGACGGCACAGGCTGAACGGTTTCTGGGTGGTGCTCGCGAGGACCTCACCGCCGAAGACGAGACAAAACACGAGTGCGGGTCCCCGAGTGCTCGCGGGCTGCGCCGCCCTGGCCAGGGGAGGGGAGGGGGGCGGGCAGCGGGGCCGGTCGGCCCCTCTATGGCCACTGGCTGCCGGCTGCCGGGTAGCTGGGCACAGTGGGGTACTCGGGCAGGGTACTTCCCGAGAAGTTGTTGTACTGAGCCTCTCGAGACGGTGGGTTCCGCCAAGCTCCCGTGTTCCACTCGGTCTGCGCCTTCTGGAAGCTTCCGCCAGCCCCCCGATAGATCCTGTGCACCTGCAGGGCAGAGGACAGAGAATCCAAACTGAGCGTGTGTGTGGCGACAAGAGACCTGCTTGTGTTCAAAGCAGGCCGTCTCGGGTGAATGACAGAAGTCATAAAAACATCTTGGCGGACACGTTAGAAAATGCACCAAAACCGACACGGGCGGACTCAGAGGGCCCTGCCCTGATCTACGACCACGGTCCCCCCGCTGCTGACGTGTGTGGCCACCAGCACTGCTCTCCTCCCCAGCTCCGGGGCCAGGCTCTCGGGCCACCCACCTGACACTTGCGTCCCGTATGTGGCCCATAGTCTCCTAGGAAGACGCCCCCAGGAAGGACTGACTCCCCACTGCACCTCAGGGAACGTGGGGCAGTGCTAGAAACTCTAGAAGTTCTGGAAAACTCAGCAAGTGAAAAATGGCATTTTAACTGGACGCTCTTGATGACCAGTGAAGCTGAACACTTTCCCCGTTTCTCACAGGGATCTTCTCCTGCATGACTATTAAATTATCTGTCTCTCCGACCCCTCTCAGTGGGAGTAGGGGGTGTGCAAGAGAAAGCTCGCGCGGCGGGCCCGAGACTTCCCTCCCCGGAGGCCGGCTCCCAAGGGTGGCCCTCGGCGGCATCTGGAACCGGACTCCGGGCTCCCACCACCCTCGCTGCTGGGGGGCTCGGGTCCCTGGACCGTCTGTGCAGACACGAGGCTCAGGCTGAGCACCTGCTCCCCTCCCGGAGTCTGGGGTCCGGGCCCAAGCCGGGCAGAGGGGCCCGTGAGACCGACCCCCGCAGAGAACCGGGCGCTGGGTCTCTGCCGGCCCCCTGGAGACCACACCTCACACGCGCGGTCCCGTCTCGTTTGGGGGGAGCTGAGCGCGTCCTGTGGGACACCCCGGGAGAGGACTCTGGAAGCTCGCGCCTGGTGTCCCCACCCCTGCCCCCCCACGCCCCTGCCCTGAGCTCATCTGGCTTCCTATCCTCTCTGTATAAACCACAGCCGTGGGGTCGACCGTCTGCTGAGCCCTGGGGGTCCTCCCGGCACATCCCCGCACCTGGGCCTGGTCCCAGAGATGGACACGGGGTCCTCCCATTGTTTAGGAAGAACACTCTATTTGAGTTCATAAATTTTTCCTTTCTAGCCTTATAGGCATTTTCAGTTAGTATTTGCTTTCTAACTTAGGATGTTTGCTGCTGAACAGAAGTCCCCAGTTGGAAACAGCTCCTGTGTGGGCTTGATCCCGGAACCCTGTTTAGAGTCACTCACTGTGGTCTCCTTAGTGGTTTCTGCAGTCCCCTCCCCGCCCCCAACTGTCCACACAGCTGAAAGCCTTTGGGGTGCACATATGGGGGGCACGGAACAATGCTCCTGTCTTCCCACACAGCCGGGTGCAGGGGGAGAAAGCCTACCTAAGCCAGGAAACGGGCTTTCACAGCTAGAATCTCGTGGCAAAAGGCTAAAGAGATCCAATCACAGCCCACCACACAGCCCATGCTGGGGCGCAGTGCTGGGGCGCAGTGCTGGAGTGATGCCCTGTCTCTCCGCTTTCCTGTGGGGACTCCACGCACATCCACAGGCTCTGACCAACACCTGAGGGCTGCAGGCCTGGTGTCCACCCCCGGGAGAGCCCACGGCTGCCCACCAGCTTTCACGTGGATGCAGCACGAGTGTTCTGCTGCAGTGTCTAAGCACCCGGGGCCGTACTGCCCACGAGAACTTTCCGTGATGGTGGAGACGGCCCACCAGCCCCACGCAGCCAGCAAATACTTGAAATGAGGTGGGTGTAGTGGATGCCCCTGGGTTTTCAGTTTTACTTAATTTTACTTAATGTGAATTTAACTGTACAGGGCGGCAAGTGTCTAGTGGCGGCCAAATCGGGCAGCGTGGAGCACACCCGGGGCCACACACTATGCTGTTTCCCCAGGCGTGCCTGAGCAGAGGTCAGCTCGTTTCCGGACATTCGGTCTCTCGCTCCTCAAACAGGGATGAGATGAGCCCCCAGAACTTGGGGACTCAGGCAACGAGATGCATGGGAAGATGCTGGCAGTCCCAGGACCCAGAGGCCTTACCTTTATGATCGCAACGGCCATCATGGCAGCTGACATGGAGAACATGATGGCTGGAAGCAGCATGACCACAGCGGCTCCGACACTCGTCTGGAAAAACCCAATTGCCGCCAGCCAACCACTGCAAGGGGCAAGAGAGAGCATGGGTGCTAGCACGTCGACCAAACAAGGGCCCAGCATCCTCTATATGTAAAGAGCACCAACAAATCAACAAGAAAAAAATAAACGATTAGCAGGGAAATGGGCAGTTGGTACGAGGACTTGCAGGGCCTGGTGAATACACGAAACGATGCTCAAACCCAGCAACGAGGAACACACGTTAGAATGGGGTCTCTGCGTTCCCCTGCCACGCAGGCAAGCGTGGTGTGTGCAAGGGGCTGAGGAGAGGAACCCTGCCCTGGTGGGAGCATGTCCCTCTGCAGGGACAGCGGCAGGTACCTACAAAAAGCCCTACGTGCTCATCTCTTGCACCCAGCTCTCCTCCTTCTAAGAATTCACGCCACAGAATTCCTTGTCTTTGTGAAAACCCGGGAGTATCCTAAATGTTCACCGGCTGGAAAGAACACAGGTGTCCGGTGTGCCACAGCCACTCAACGGCATGCCAAGCAGGTGTTGAGGAAGCAAGAGGGGAAAAGAGTTAAAGAGCAGTCAGTACAGCAAGACCCCACGGGACCTCTTTTGTCCCGTACACACGCGGACAAACACCCACACTTGCCTCTTGGGGCGAGAGCTGGGAAATAAGTGCATTGTGGGATTTTATTTTTCTGAACAGGTAATAAAAATACATAGCTCAACCTTCAGGGACTTAGCAGAATGTATGGTAACTTGGAAGTTAGCACTAGTTCACTATTAACTAACCCACGTGCTTTATTCAGGCTTCCCAGCTGTTCCACGGGCGTCCCTCTGTTCCAGGAGCCCGCCATGCGGCCACATCCACGGATCAGCAGGCCAGGCCCCCATCCACCTGGGCTGTTTCCAGCCCCCACGGCCACACGCGCACTGCCACCTAGAGCCCTGCAGGAGCATCAACCCCGAGAAGCAGAAGGTTGCGTCCAGCCACCCCCATGGGAGCCCTGCCATGCCCCACGCCGGAGCTGTGACGCACCTGCGGCCACCCAGTTCACACGAGACCAAGCCCTGTGTCTCTGGAGGCTGCCTGCGCTTGTGTGCGAGCATCTGTTCACGCTTTGGGTAGCAGGCCAAGTACTGGGGTGCACTCAGCACGCATGGGTTTCTTGTAAGCATCTTCCAGAGACCCTGACACGCTCTGAATGGAAGGGAAGCTGCGTGTCCTCCCCACCCAAGTGCATACGTGGGGACAGCCGAGGATCCCCTGGGCCACAGGCTCATTCTGTGCTGGGCGCTGGGGACGGACCACCGCCCAATCCCACTCAGCCTAGGGGGGCTGGGAAAGCCACTGGGGGCGCCTGGGTCAGGGAGTCGGTGTGAGGTGCAGCCGGAGGGCCCAGGCGGGTGCTGGGTGGTTGGAGGCTCCCAGGAGGGGAGAAACACTGGCTCTGCAGGGAGGAGGGGTGTCACTCTGGGGACTAGTGTCCTTCCAACAGGTCTGGGGCACTGGGGAGGGGCCGGGCGGGCAGAGGCCCCAGCCTGAACTCTGTGGTCTGGGGGAAGTGAAGGCACCCACAGGCAGGAATGCAGGACAGGGAGCCTGCTCCACAGCACCAGCCTCCCCGCCTCCCCCCAGGACCAGGGGCGAGAAACGTTTCAGGTACAACCCTGGGCGACAGCACTCAGGCTCTGGCCCCCGTCAGCTACACCTGGGTGAGCGATGGAGGCTGCTGCATGCCATCTGCGTCAGGAAGAGGCCAAGGCATCCGCGGTGGGGAGCAGGGAGGATGCAGAGAGGCATGGAGAGGGAGGGCAGGGCTCAGGGAGGGGGTGAGGGGCTCCAGGGGCTCCCCCAGAGCTGCTCAGGCCGGAGCTCGTGGGACTGGAACCAGGGAGAGGTCAACAGGGCATGTGAAAAGACGGAGTGGAGACGCGAGATCTGGGGAGTCTGGCAACTCCCCAGAAGGTCAGCCCAGCTGCTGCGTCCCCAAGCAGTCCCGCAACTGGCGCACACGCGATGTGCAGAGACACGTGTCACAGCCACGCTACCAACAGGAGCGGCTTGCGTAGACCCTCCCGGGCCCATCGGCATGGATGGAAGCACACAGCATGTCCCCCACGCACCGGAGCGTCCGTCGGCCACAGACAGGAGCGAGGCACCCACACGCGCGGCCCCGGGGACGGACCCCGAGCCCAAGACGCTCAGGGAGGGAACCAGACACAGAAGGCCACGCGGGGTGTGAGTCCACGTGGGTGACACGTCCGAAACGGGCTCATCCATGGACGGGAAGGGGGCCCCCGGGGCCTGGGGGGTGGGGAGGGGGTGACAGCTGATGGGGGCGAGGTGCTCTGGGGTTGACAGAACATTCTTGAAATAGAAATGATGGTTGCACAACCTTGTGGATACACTAAAACCCCTGAGCTGTTCACCGTTAAGAGTGAACTTCTGGTCTGTGATGTGTAGCTCGCTAAAGTCATTATTCTAAAAACCAAACTGCGGGGATGTGCAAGACATTGAAGCCTCCCTCTCTCATAAATCAACTAGAACGAAGAGGGGGTGCAAAGGCTCGGGAGAGCCCGAGAGAGAACCCTACCCGCAGAAGCATACACACCCCATCTGGACATACTGCCAAAGCAAAACGTAGTTCAATGCCACGTGGAATCCTGAACAGAACGACATTCCTAGAAACGCAGGGGCTCCGAGGCCAGCCAGCCACGGGGACAGCGGTGCCAGGCCCGCACTGACCTCTGGGGGCAGCAAAGACATCCGATGCCGACGGGCGTGACCACCGCGCTCTGTCCGGTCTCTGCACCTTCCTGAAAACCCCAAAGTGGCCCCACATGAAAACCCTATTACGGGGCGCCTGGCTGGCTCAGTCACTCCCTGTCTCCAGGTACACAGCACTGGGTCCCCCTCCTACCGTCTCCCCGCTAGGGGGGGAGGTCGGCACCCTCACCCTGGCCTCGCCCCAGGGCTCGGCCCAGGCCCCAGAGCCTCCTGCTCTCTGCCCCTCCCTCCAAGGTCCTGCCCTGGAGGCTCCAGGAGCAGTCTGAGCAGTTGGGGGCTGGAGAGTCAGGAGGAGGGGTACAAGCAGCTCGGGGGTCCCCTCTGCCCCAAGGAGCACTGCAATCGAACTGGGCACGCTCCAAGTAACCAAACCTATGGGGGACACACATGCCTGGAGCGTGAACCAGAGACCCCACAGGAAACGGGGTGTCAGAGCATACGATTCGCCTCTACCAGCAACTCTTCTTCCAGCTTCCTCTGCTCCTCTGGGGAGAGCCTTTCTCGACCTCTGCCAGGCGATGGCCAAGAGAATGTAGCCACTGCCCCCGGAGGGGATGGTCTGCAGGCTGCACGTTGTGAGTGCAATCATAAACCCACTCACAAAACACATCGCTTGGAAATAAATAGATCGTAATTTATTTATTTTTTAAAAGATTTTATTATTTATTTATTTATTTGAGAGAGGAATGAGAGACAGAGAGCACGAGAGGGAAGAGGGTCAGAGGGAGAAGCAGACTCCCCGCTGAGCAGGGAGCCCGATGCGGGACTCGATCCCGGGACCCCAGGATCATGACCTGAGCCGAAGGCAGTCGCTTAACCAACTGAGCCACCCAGGCGCCCCTAGAGCAACTCTTTAAATTACGATCTATTGGGCACCTGGGTGGCTCAGTCAGTTGAGCAACTGCCTTCGGCTCAGGTCATGATCCTGGAGTCCCGGGATCGAGTCCCACATGGGGCTCCCTGCTCGGCGGGGAGTCTGCTTCTCCCTCTGACCCTCTTCCCTCTCGTGCTCTCTATCTCTCATTCTCTCTCTCTCAAATAAATAAAATCTTTAAAAAAAAAAAAGAGTTGCTCTAATTTTTTATACTTTCAAGTAGGCTCCACGCCCCACATGGGGCTGGAACTCTCAACCTTGAGAGTTAAGAGTCACACGCTCCACCGACTGAGCCAGCCAGGCGCCCCTAAAAAGCCCACTTAAAAGCCAGAATTTAAGCAAGGGGGGGGGCGTGAAGGAATCAAGGTTGGTTTCTTAGGCGTGAAGCAGACTGTGGTCTCACATGCACACGAGTGCCGCGGAGCATCCCCTCCGAGGATGAGCCTGGCGCCCTGCGGAAATGGTACTGGTGGCTGCCGGGTGTGCCCCATGCGGAAGGCGGAGAGCAGAGCCCGGCCAGCCGCAGCTGCAGTCCACCCGCCCCCTGCTGGTGGGCCACAAGCCTGCCGCCGCCAAGGGCCAGGAGGGTGGGAAGACCCTGGGCTGGGCTTCCAAAGGGAATGTGGTTTGGCAGGCCAGCTCCTCGGGGCCCCCATTCCCTGCACTGAGCCCTGGGGAGGCCAAGGGGCTCCAAACCAGTGGGGCCTCCCCAGACTCGCCCACTGGCCCCGCCCCACCTGTGCAAGCCAGTACCTAGCAAAAGAATGAGAGCGATGACAAGCCTTTTACGAGAGCAGATGGGGCTACAGCCCCGACCGCAGGTGCTGTGTTCTCCTCCTGATTTTTCAGGAGAGGAAAAACCCTTCAAAGCAGCTCTTTGCCCAAGCTCACCAGCTGGTTGGTCACCTGTCCCCTGCCCTGTTTGGCCCGCATTCCCGCAGGAAGGAAAACTCCTGAAGTCCCCTTTCTGCAAGCCAGCCCCCGAAGAAGGTGCACACCACCCCTGTCCAGTGTGGAAACCAGGGTAGCGTGGCACTGGGCTGAAAAGAGCTCGCGCGGCGGGCCTGAGACTTCCCTCCCCGGAGGCTGGCTCGCAAGGCTGGCCCTCGGCGGCATCTGGAACCGGACTCCGGGCTCCCACCACCCTCACTGCTGAGGGGCTCGGGTCCCTGGACCGTGTGTGCAGACACGAGGCTCGGGCTGAGCACCTGCTCCCCTCCCGGAGTCTGGGGTCCGGGCCCAAGCCGGGCAGAGGGGCCCGCGAGACCGACCCCCGCAGAGAACCGGGCGCTGGGTCTCTGCCGGCCCCCTGGAGACCACACCTCACACGCGCGGTCCCGTCTCGTTTGGGGGGAGCTGAGCGCGTCCTGTGGGACACCCCGGGAGAGGACTCTGGAAGCTCGCGCCTGGTGTCCCCACCCCTGCCCCCCACGCCCCTGCCCTGAGCTCATCTGGCTTCCTATCCTCTCTGTATAAACCACAGCCGTGGGGTCGACCGTCTGCTGAGCCCTGGGGGTCCTCCCGGCACATCCCCGCACCTGGGACCCCAAGACAGCCCCTCACTGGCCCTCCAGACCCAGATTTGGGAGGGCATCAGCCAAGAAGAAACCCGATACTGAGGGTCCACGCAGAGCTCATCTGCTACGGGGCAGGAAGGAAGCAACAAGGGAAGGCTGTGCTAGAAACAATCCCCGGGGAGAGCAGAAGGTGACTTGTAGGCTTTGAAAAGGGGACGGAAGACACAGAAGGGGACGGACAACAGAAAGGAGCCGAGAGGCAGGCTGAGGAGGCCACAAACACCCTAAGGGATGGCAACCGAGAGGCCACACAGGGCACACCTGAGCAGACAGGACTCCAGAGCATGGACAAGGCCGAGCATACGCACGCGCAGCCTCAGATGTCACCCACAGGACACTCGACACCAAAGATATGACCCACGGCCAGCCAGCAGCCCCACATCCTCATCCTGGGACCTGGGACGTGTCCCCAGAGGGAACCTGGTCACGGCCCCGAGGGGTGACCCTGGGTTCCTGGGGGGCCCGGCGTCCTCATGAGGGGGAGGCAGAGGGTGGGAGTCCCAGAGATGGGCAGACCCCACGCTGCTGGCGGTGAGGATGGAGGGGGGCCGCGGGCCAGGAAAAGGCCAGAGCCAGGTCTCCCTGGAGGCCCCGGGGGGACCAGCCCTGCCCACACCAGGGTTTTGGTTCCAAGAGGCCCGCGTCAGACTCCTGACCCCAGAAGTGTGAAGTAACTGTTTAAGTCACTAAGTTTGTCCTAATCTGTGACAGCAACCACAGGACTGGGTATAAAATCTTAAAAGCAAACAAAAAACCAGCTCTCTCTCAATGGCGGGGTCACAGGAGGCCATCCCAGGGAGGCCCTTGTGCTGTCTGAGCCGCTCCTCCCAGACACCCCCCAGGCCCACTTCCCAGCCTTCCAGGTGGCCCATGAGTGCATCCCAGGCAGGACCCTCAGGGGCAGGCCCCAGGTGGCATGGGCAGCAGACCCCAGCCCCAGCCCCACCAGTGCCACCCTGAGAGCTCACGCACGAGGGCACACGTGCCTTCTCTTACACCCTGGGAGGCTTGGGCTCTACTGTCCCACAGTGAACGCGTGTCACACCCCTGCGCTGCGGCCCGGGCTCCCGGGGGCCTGGCTTACCATGCGCCCCATCCCGCGAAGCCAATCGCCTGGAGGACGGTCAAGACAAACTGGGCTCCAAAGATGAAGAAGAACGCCATGAAGTTGAAGGAGCTGTCGGCTCTAGAGAGAGAGAGAGAGAGAGAACAGCCGTCACGGCAGCCCGCACGCGGCAGGACCAGTGGGGACGGGGCTGCCGCCCTCCCCAGAAGCGGCAACCCGAACGCGCCATCCCACGCATGCTCAGCCTGGGCTTGGACTCTACAGGGCCACGACACGGCTTCTCTGGGAAACACTGCGCCAACAGATTCCTGGCCGCAAAGGAGTCTGAGAGATCTCAGTGCGAGCGATGACGCTCACTTGAGTGCTGGAGGTTAACCCGGGGGAAGGCGTGTCGCAGATTTAAGGGGCTCTGCATGCTGTATAAACCACAGCCGTGGGGTCGACCGTCTGCTGAGCCCTGGGGGTCCTCCCGGCACATCCCCGCACCTGGGACCCCAAGACAGCCCCTCACTGGCCCTCCAGACCCAGATTTGGAGTCAGATGGGTGACATCTGAGGCTGCGCGTGCATATGCTCGGCCTTGTCCATGCTCTGGAGTCCTGTCTGCTCAGGTGTGCCCTGTGTGGCCTCTCGGTTGGCATCCCTTAGGGTGTTTGTGGCCTCCTGAGCCTGCCTCTCGGCTCCTTTCTGTTGTCCCTCCCCCCCGGAGGACGGGGGGCAGCAGCCGAGGGGCCGCGGCGCAGGCCACCTCCAGGTCACCGAAGCAGGACAGGGGCAGGATCCTGAGGGTGGTGGGAGGAGGCAGGGCCGCTCACAGGCCGTCAGCAGGCCCCGAGCATTCCTGAGCGAGGCTGCCGGAGCCAGCCCAGAACCTGGAGGAACAGCCTGTCTAGCTCCAGCACACACGTGGGTTCCTAGTCCTTGTCTCCAAGGAGGGCCTCAGGGACGCTGTCTGACGGACCCTGAGAGCCCGAGATTCGGGAACCCTGTAGGGTCAAAATGGCAGCTCCTGAGTAACAGGGGGCGCACTGGGGCAAGTGTCCACAGACAGGAGCGTCCTGCAGCCGAGAACAGGAGCGAGGCGCCCACACGCACGGCCCCGGGGACGGACCCCGAGCCCACGACGCTCAGGGAGGGAACCAGACACGGAAGGCCACACGGGTGTGCGTCCACGTGGGTGACACGTCCGGAACAGGCTCATCCACGGACGGGAAGGGGGCTGGCGGGGGCTGGGGGATGACAGCTGCCAGGGACGGGGTTGCCTTGGGGGTGATGGAATGTTCTGGAACTACACAGAAGTGATGGTTCCACAACCCTTTGAAGACACCAGAAACGCTGCTACGAGTAGGTGAGTGGACAGATGAATTAGTTACTAAAAGACAGAACAGGCTCTCGTTGGCCATAGTCTGCAGCCCCTGGATGTAAGCTGTCCCCAAACCGAACAGAACGGCTCTGGGCACGTGCGCCAGACGCCAGGCTGGCGAGGGCGCAGGCCCCGAGCGCGTGGTCAGGCGTCTGGCTCCTGCCGGTGCTGAGCACCAGACACTCCCTGAGGCCCCCTCAGAGATGCAGCCCGCCCCACGCCCCAACTTACCGGAAGGCCTTATACACAGGCCGGAACCAGCACATGTAGCCACAGGGGGAGAAGAGCAGCAGCCAGACCAAGGCCAGGCCAAGGTTGGCCCCCGAGCCACCACCGATCCACCAGGCCAGGCAGGCGACGAGGTTGACCCCCAGGGTGGCACAGTAGACTGGGGAGGGGGCGAGGAGGGTGAGCGGGGAGGGAGGGTGGCGGGCCAGGACCCCTCCCACCCGCCGGGGGAGCCGGGCGGAGGCTCTGGTCAGCACGGGAGCCACGGAGCCAGAGGAGGACTCGGGACATCACCGTATTGGAAAGGCGAGGTTCAGCCCAAAATTCGGGCGAACTTTGTGGTGTGGGCTGTCCCGGGCCGGGGTCTGAGTGGTGCACAGGGAGGCCCCGCCCCTGCCCCAGGGCTCACACAGCCACAGCCGATAGATTCTCTTCACCAGAAGCTGGTGCTCGATGGGGATCTCGTCGGAGATGTTCTGGTAGAAACAGGGCTTCAGGGGGATAAACTTGGGCAGCGGCGGGAAGTTGTTCTCCTTTTCTGCAAGGACAGAAAACACCAGGGAACGAAACCAGGCGGGGAGCCTCAGTGACAGCCCCGAACACATCGCCGTCCCTGTCCTCAACCTGCGGACGTGTCCCCTCACGCGGCAGAGGGGGCCTTGTCACGGCCCCGAGGAGGGGGTGACCCTGGGTTCCCGGCGTCCTCACAAGGTCCTCACAAGAGGGAGGCAGAGGGTGGGAGTCCCAGAGATGGGCAGACCCCGCGCTGCTGGCGGTGAGGATGGAGGGGGGCCGCGGGCGAGGAAGAGGCCGGAGCTGGGTCTCCCGGGGGCACCGGGGGGTGGGGGGGGGACCAGCCCTGCCCACGCCTGAGTTTTAGAACTTCTGACTTCACAACATGAAATGATAAATGTGTTTTGTTTTTTTTTTAAGGATTTTATTTATTTGAGAGAGAGCATGAGCAGGAAGAGGGACATGGAGGAACGAGAAGAACAGAGAGAAACAGACCCCCCACTGAGCAGACGCGAGGCTCGATCCCAGGACCCTGGGACCATGACCTGAGCAGAAGGCAGATGCTTCACCGACTGAGCCACCCAGGCGCCCCAGAAAAAAGTGGTTTAAATCACTCCACTACGGTGATTCCTGAGAGCAGCCAGAAGACACGCAAATATAAGCTTGGCAGAGCCAAATACCGTTAACACCCGACTCCAGAGAAGATTCTGGGACTCTGAATGCATAAGCTTCCTGGGGCAGCTCTGACAAATGGCCACCAGCCAGGGGGTTCCAACCACAGAACTTTATTCTCCCCGGTCCCAGAGCCCAGAAGTCGGAGGTTGAGGTGGGGCAGGGCCACGCTCCCTCCAGCGGCTCCAGGGGACGGTCCCTCCTGGCTCTCCCAGCTCCTGGGGGCTCCAGGCGTCCCTCGGTGTGCGGCCGCGTCGCCCCAGTGCGTCTTTATGAGACCACCCATTGTTGGATTGTGGCTACCCTCCTTCAGCATGAGCGCCTCTTTACTAACATCCACACAAGGACTCTGCTTCCCAATAAAGCCCCATTTCACAGGTACAGGGGTGAGGATTCAACATGTCTCTTGGGCATAGGACTTAGCCTGCAGCATGGTAGGGTCAGTGACACCCCTCAGCCTTTCAACGACATCACCGCTATGGCAGGACACGTCTCCTGAGCACCTTGGAGGGCCAGACTGTGAACAAAAGACAGAGGGGGGCTGCCCTCCTGGCCAGGGGGAGACCAACAATCATCACAATGAATGAGCAAGTGCGGCGTGCTGGAAAATGCTGCGTCCGTGCTGGAAGGGGACACCAGGGATGTGTGTGCTGGGGGTGGCCTAGCTCTAAGAGGAGGGCAGGGGCGCCTGGGCGGCTCAGTCGGTTAAGCGTCTGACCCTTGATCTCAGCTCAGCTCTTGATCTCACGGTCGTGAGTTCAAGCCCTGCATCGGGCTGCATGCCGCATGTGGAACTTGCTTAAAAAGAGTCGTCAGATTAACCCCTCACAGCAAAAATTGGTATTTAAACAAATACTCCAGAAAGCAAAGAAGACAGGCCAGTGTGTTCTGGGGGAGGGCCTCAGTGTGAGTACCAGCTGATCAAGAGGCAGCGGGGAGATCAGGGCTGGAGAGGTGGACAGGCGGAGGCAGACCACACCTTACTGGCCACGGAGAGGCCACAGGCATTTACCACGTGACACAGGAAGCCACAGCATGTCCCAAGCCCGAGCAGAGAGGGGAGTCGATCCCACTCTGAGCTTGCCGGCTCTGAGCCCCCGTGATCAGACATGGGAGAAGGGCCTCCCCGGCACAGACTCACAGCCTCCATGCCATGGTCACCGGTCACTACCCTTCAAGGCTCCTCTCCAAGACCCCAACAAGGAGCCCACCTGGCCCGCGGCCCCCAGCCCCCCACTGCTCCCTCGGCCCCCGGCACCTCTCTCCTCCCCTGACGTCTGAACCCCACCCCTCCTGCAGCCCACAGCAAGAACGGGGTGATGCTTCCAGCGGTCAGGCTGCTAGCATACGCTGTGACAAGGAGGTGGGAACCCCACCACCAAGTCACACACCCTCTGAAACCCTGTTTTCTCGGCAGATAAGAAGTCCCGGGGCAACGTTCTGTGCACACTTAGAACTCAGGCACCCAGAGCCCTACCCCACCCTCTACCTGAGTACAGGGGCAGGTGCTGGGACTGCAGGGGTGGAGAGGCATGGGGCGACCGTGCGTGGACGGTGTGCACTCCTGGCGCCTCACCGTGGCCTTGGGGCCCTAGGGCCGCCCTCACTTCACCTGCACACTCCATCCCTCCTTCTGAGCAGGACGAGGTGGGCACACCATGAAAGAAAGAGTCTCATCTGACACGTGTAGGTATGACCCCAGACGCCCACACCTCAAACAGTACGTTGACGTCCACGACCAAATGGGCCCCAAGGCAGAAAGCTGGTCAGGCCGACAAGTGCCGTGGAAACAGGCATCTATCTCTCATCTGGCTCAGAGCGAGCAAGTGACCCCAGCACCCTCCATGGGAGGAGGAGAGTGGTGTGTGCCCCCCCCGGGGGGGGTATTAGGGTGGGTCCGGCCACTAGGGGACACTTCCCAGAGGATCCCCCGCTGCAGGGCCTCTGGGGGAGACTCACCGGACATTTCCGCTGTGACAACTGGGCGGGGCAGAAGCCTACAGCCACCTGGAGGGGAGACAGCCATAGTCAGGAGGTTCCCGAGGCCGCCAGGGGACCCCGACCCCAGCTGCACGCTCAGCAGCAACCCCAGCTAGAGGCCTCACCTCCAGGCCACCCTGGGTCCCGAAGGCCAGGCCCATCTGCCACCTTCAGAGCCCCCGGGCAGCGTCTGTGCTGGAAAGAGAGGGGTCGGGCTGCTGCCGCAAACACACCCGGCCAGAACCAAAACGTTCCTGGGACCCCGTGGGCCCACCCCACCTCCTCGTCCCCCCGACCCCCCTAAACTTCCTCTTTATCCATGAACAGCTCCAGGCACCTCCTCAGGGCCACTGAGAACGGGGTTCGCGCTCACTGCTGTGGAATACTACACAAGTCACACAGCTTCTCTGGTCTGCACTTTTGTCCCTGCGAGCCTGACAGAGCTGAGGACCTCACCACAACCCAAGTGGGGCAGCTGAGGACGCACCTGGCACCCAGTACCCTTCCTACACGGAACCAGGTGAGCTGGTGTCACGGAGGAGCCCCGGAGAGCAGGCTGCCCCCGATGCATACACCTGCGGGGACTTTGCTGGCTCCCTCAGGGCTCTGTGGTGGGCACGCCATCTCCAGGATATAAGCCGGGCTCATGTGGCCATGCCCGCCTCACTGGGATGGGAACCCATGGATGACTTCCTCACCCACAGTCTAGGTGACGAGGTTCCAGCGACACTGAGCTCCCAGGGTCCACGCCCCCCTCCCCAGGAGACACTCTCTGGCCCGGCCCAGTCCTCTGTGCCCACATGCCTGGTGGGCTCACAGCCACCCCCTGCCCATCCACGGCACTGGCCTGTGGGCAGACCCCTCCCCAGCCCTGTGCCCATGGGCTGGTGTGGGCTGGGAGAAGACCCCTAGGGCTCAAGGGGAGGCTCAGAGCAGGGATGAACTGGGCCCCACAGTGGCCCCGTGATCCAAAAATGCACATTTGCCAGACAAACCCACGTTGGTTCTAGTGCTGACGGCCCTGCGGCAGACCCCCCGGCCCTCTATGAAGAATGGCAAATGGGACGACAACCGAAAAAGCCTTTGAGGGAGCTGACTCCAGGCTGGCAGGTGCACCCTCGTGTAAATACCTGCTGGCCAGCCACACCCTTCCAGACCCAGGACACAGGCAGGGAGGCGCCCCGGGGGGAGGGGGGCACACTCTTCCCCCACTTGGCTCAGAAACTCCCCTTCCCATGCACAAACCCCAAACCTTGGCAGAAGTGGTCACCCAACCCAGGTACCCTTGGCCACCATGGTCCCCTGCCACTGTCAACAGACGCCAACCTGGTTTGGGGCTGTTTATTTTCACAAATAGAGCCCATTTCCTGACACCCGGGACAAAGGGGAGTCTCTCCCGGCGGACCCTCGGGCTTGGGGCAAAAGGTGGCTGGAGAAGTCCGAGTGCCCAGCCCCCCGCCCAGGCTGGACCCCACGAAGCTCAAGCCCAAGGAAAAGCTCAGTCAGGGCAGAAATGCGTCCCCACACACCAGTGGGAACGGCATGGGGTCTGGCTTCGGGATGGGAAACGCGCATCGTCCTTGACACTGACCCACAGGATCACGGCCTGCCTAGGCGACAGTGAGAGAGGCGGAGGCCTGCCGGTGGGGTCTGAGGGGAGGCTGAGCCGTTGGCGGCAGAGCAAGCTCCAGAAGGCAGCGGGCACGGCAGCCCCCTACGAGCCAGGGTCCAGCTGGCGGCACTGGGCCTCCAGGACCCCACGGAACACCAGGAAGCGGTGGTTGAGGTCAGGCCGGGCGTGGATGCGGAAGCGGGTACCCAGGGCGCCATCGGGCGAGGGCACCCCATAGAAGACACGCTGCACGCGGGAATGCACCAGGGCCATGGCGCACATGGCACAGGGCTCGCGGGTGATGTAGAGGTCGTAGCCAGTGCACACGTAGGGGAGGCTGTCCGCATGCACGTCCCCGTCCTCGACCAGCTTGCGCACAGAGCCCACACGGACGCCCAGGGGGGTGACGGCTGGGGCGAAGGAGCAGGCAGGGTAGGGGCCGAGGTCATAGGCGCCACGGCCCTGGCCCTGGGCCACCAGGTCAATGCACACCATGGTGGCGTGCAGCAGGGGGCTGGCCGTGTTGCTGCAGTCGTGGCCTGTGGCCAGCACGCGGCCGGAGGACGGGTCCACCACCACAGCCCCCACCGCCCTCAGGCCCCTCGCAGCCGCCTGCTGTGCGGCCCACACAGCCCGCTCCATGTGGCCCTGCATCGCCGTCTGCTCCTGCGCGGAGAACAGCCGCCCGGCCAAGGCACGAGTCACCTGCCTATCCTCGTGGAAGGACGTGGGCCAGTGGGCACGCGCCTCCTCGAACTGGCCTCTGGTCAGGGGCGGCCGGGCTGGCACGGGCACCAGGAAGGGCTGCCCCAGGCCACGGGGGTCCACGGCCGGCTGCGGGAGGAGCTCAGCGAGCGATCTGGCACCCGCGGCTGGCCCTGCCAGGCACAGCAGCAGTTCCAGCGCGTGAGGTCGGCTGGCATCACGGCTGGGCCGCACCCTCTTGAGGTGAGGCTGGGCGGGCAGCGGGTGGACGGCTGACACCTCCTGGAGGAGGCGCGAGGTCTGGCGCTTGTCGAGGATGGGTGCGGCGTAGGCCAGCACCAGCTCCACGTCCTTGGACTGCTGCTCGGACAGGACCGGGAGGGCTTGCCACGGCTCGGGCTCTTGCTCAGGGCTCCGGGTCTTCTCGTCCCCACGCTGCTCCATGAGGCCCGGGGCAGGGTCCATCCTCGGCACGGCTCTGACTGTGGGAGACAGAGATCGGAGCAGAGCATCATCCGTCAGCTGCAGAAGGCCCGGGTGAGCCAGAGGAGTCCGTCCCAGGTCCCAGGAGCGTGCGGCATCTGAAGGCTCGTCCGAGAGTTCGGCCCACAGAGAACGCATCACCAGCCATGCTCGCGCTCAGATCCTGCCAACTCTTGGTTTGCAGAACTTAAACTGTCACTGACAGTTTTGTTCCCTGTGACACGTGTCACCGTGAACACGCACACCAGGTCTCAGAGACTCAGTGAGAAAAAACACGAATGGTCTCATCAACTGTCTTCACGTTGGCCGTGTGCTCAGGTAATAACACTAATTTCACCTGTGTCTTTGTGCACTTTTTGGGATGGTGGCTTCTAGAACATTTCACGTTATGTCTGTACCGCGCATCGTGTTCCTGTTGGTCAGGACCAGCTCGGATAACGTCAGACCTCAATTACTGGTCATCTCGACGTGGTTCTGGAGGATCCTTGTTGCCACTGTGTGCCCAGACCACACGGCCCAATGGCGTCCTGGAGTGGACCGCCCCCCCGCCCCTCCTCGTGGACCGGGAAAGGCTGCAAGCGTCTGACAACTGTGGGCTTCTACCTTTTAAGACGCGCCTCCCAGCACGCTCCTCAGCTGCACAGAATCACAGGCATTCATCAGCCAGGCCCGCTGGAGGGCAAGGGACATCCTCACCCACCGCGCTATGTCCTGAGCTCACGAAACAGTCTGCTAAGCACACAGAACCAGGGGTGCTGATGGCAGCCACGAGGAGTGGAAGGCATAGAGGGCCCCTGGTGCCCTCACAGCACTGTGCCAGGCAGGGCCCACCGGAGGGTCCACGGTGCCGACTCTGAATCTGCTCCCAGCACACACCATGCCCAGGACCCCACAGGCCGCACGGGCCACAGAAGCTCCCAGTCTCCACAGCGAAATACATGTCTCACTCACCCCTCGGGAAGTACAACTCTGTCCGATGAAAACAAAACAGGTGACAAGTAAAGGAGACTGCCACTGGGACACTGCTGGCCAGGGTGCCGGCTCCTAGGTGGTAGGGTGGGTAAAAGCCCCAGCAGTCACCGTCCAGCCAGCGGCTGCTCCACTCCACGCCCAGCCACGCACCCAGGAGCCCTGAGAACACACGTCCACAAAGAAGCCTACACACGCCTGCTCACGGCAGAGCATCCACAGCAGCCAGAAGGTGGACATGGCCCAAGTGTCCTTCGATGGATGAACAGATACACACAGGGTCCCCCAAGCACAGACACGTTACTCAGCCGTGAACAGGAGCCAGGCGCCCTCACACACTGCCCCGGGGACAGACCCCGAGCCCATGACGCTCAAGGAAGAAACCAGACACGGAAGGCCACGCGAGGTGTGAGTCCACGTGGGTGACACGTCCAGAACAGGCTCATCCGCGGACGGGAAGGGGGCTCGTGGGGGCCCCGGAGGAGGGGGACCGGGAGTGACTACTAATGGGGACGGGGCTTTTTTTGGGGGGGGGCAGGTAGAATATTCTGGAATAAGACTGTGATGACAGTTCCACAACCCCACAAATGTCCTAAAAACCACAGATATGTCCGTTTTAAATGGGTGAACTGCCCCTCAGTAAAGCTGCTAAAAAAAGCGGGGAGGAGTAAGGACACAAGGCAATTGCCATGTCAGCAGACTCCAAACAAGGCCCAATACCTCAGATAACAGCTGCTCGTACCGTAGCCGCCATGTGTCCTCCCAGTGACCCAGCAGGGAGCCTGGGGAACTGTCCCCTTTCTACAAGACAAGATGAGGCTCTGTGAGCTGGAAGGACGTGCCTGGAGCCACAAGGCAGGGAAGGTGACTCAGGATCTGACCAGGAAGACATTCAACAGCTCTCGGACTGCCTTCTCAGCCCATTCCACAGATAAGGAAGACAGCTTCCGCAGACGGTGTCTCGCCTGAGCTCCCAAGCCCAGCGTCCGGAAGGGAGTGCCAGCCTAGTGGCAAACAGTGTCCACGCACCAGCGTTCTGTTTCAACACGCCAGGGATGTGGAGTGGGCCGGAAGCCCTGGGGCACCTGGGCTCCTCTCTCGTCCGATGCTCCAGATCAAGCCCCAGCTCCCAGCACCTGGCCACCTCCACACCCCCCCACACACCCTTTGCTGTTCTTGCCAGCTCAGTCCCATCCCTGGCACCCCCGGGGCAGACACAGCCTGCTCAGAACAGCCGGTGGGGTGCACACCCACCGCTGCAGTGCCTCTGCCTCTGGCACTGAAGTCCTGGGCTGGGAGCGGGGGGGCCCTCAACTGCATGGGAGCCCCCACAGGGTCTGGCGGGCCAGAGACACAGGACCCTAACACAAGTCCCCTCGGCAGCTTAGGACCCCCCCATGGCCCCCTGCGGCCCCCCACCGCAAGCGGGGTGCTCTAGAACTCTGGTGCTGGGAGGGAGTCAGGAAATGGCACTGATTCGGGGACTGCAGTCGCCCCGCAGGCAACACCCGGTAAACTCACTCAGGCCCCCATCTCACCACCGGACTGGGAAGGCAGGCCAGAACCTGGGTGTGACCCCACCCTCAGCGTCCCCCTCCGAGAAATGGGAATCCAACAGCATCACGCAGGGCTGTCTGAGCCAGAAAGGGACGAAATCCACACGAGGCCCCACACGAGCCGGGGTCCGGCGACGCCCTGTGGGGGCTGGGCAGTCGCGGAGGGCTCCTAGGAGGCAGTGACTCGCAGCGGGCCCCGGAAGGCAGGCAGTCCCGAGCAGGACAGCCAGTGTGGAGTCCCAGGCCCGCCGGCAGCGCGCCAGGCGCTGGTCCCGAGGGCAGCTCCCTGGCCCAGTGGGGACGCAGGGGGCTGCCATCTGAACCCCTAACGAGCTCCCCCCTTGCTTATACGGAGTTCTCCTGCGGCGGGGCGTCCTGCCACACGCCCTTCCGTGCACGAAAGTTCCAGAACGTCGGGCAAGCGGGGTGCGGGAGGGAAGCCCTTCTGCCCGGGGCCACGACAAGAGAAGACCCTGCCCACTCATACTGTCGGTAAGCGTCAGGAGAGGCTCACGTCTAGCAACGTGGAAGACGCCTGCACCTGCAGGGGCGGGACGCCAGTCAACGCGCGGCCCGGAGGCAGGGGGCCGGCCGCGATGACCCCAAGCACGCGCGGGGGGGGGGGGGGGGGGGGGGGGGGGGGGAGAGCGGAGCAGCTGGACGCACGGGGCCTCCACCCCCGGCCGCAGGGGCGCGCGCACGCGCACAAGGTCTACGGGCCCCGCGGCCCGGCCGCCCCGCGCGCACGCGCACACGCGCACACGCGCCGATGCCCCCGACTGCCTCCTCGCGCCCGGCGCGGCCGGCGTCCCCCGCCCGCCGAGATACGACCCCCCGCCCGTCGCCACCCCGGCTCGCCGTCCGTGGGAGCCGGGGCCGCGAGAGCCGAACCCCCGGGGCCCCGCGCTTACCTGAAGGACCGCAAGCGAGCCCTGCGCCTCACAAGTCTTAGCAACCGACCGCTTGCCCCGCCTCCGCCCGCGCCGCGGGGCACGACGGGAGCGTAGTTCCAGGGGCGGGGTCGGCGCGGAACAGGGGCGGGACCGGAACTACAATCCCCACAAGGCTGCGCGCCGGGCCCCGGAGTGCCGCCCATCTCCCGAGCGCCGCTCGGGAGACCGGCTGGAGCGCCGGGAGCGCGGAGTTGAGGGTTCGAGGCCCGGAAAAGAGGACCCTGGAGGCTGTTGGGGAAATCCGACTAGAGAGACTGAGGCAGAAGCGTACACGACACCCGCTGCAGCGCTTCCCGAGCCCAGTCTGCTGCTGCCACGTGGCTCCAGAGGGGCTGTCCGCCGAGACTTGGCGTGTGGGCCAGGTTCTCAAAGTGGTCTAGCCCTGGGCGATTCTTGGCCTCAGTTTTCCCATCTGTACAGTAGGCGAAGGGGACCTCTTGACTCTTCGGCAAAACATGCTAATTTTATGGGCCACTCCAGGGATTCGTTCTGGTCAAACAGATTTATTAACACAGTGGTTCTCTACATTGGGCAACGTCTGGGGACATTTATGGTTGTTGTGACGGGGGGAGGGTGCACTTGGCATCAAATGGCATCAAAACCTGGAGGCCAGGGATGTCATTCAACACCCTTTGGTGCACAGGACGCCCCCAACGCAACCAACCCCCAGGGGCCACAGCACACAGGTTGGAAGATCCCGGTTTGACCCCTTTGCTGCGTAAGGAGAAAACTTCAGATCTAAAAGGGCCCTCTACAGGGCGCCTGGGTGGCTCAGTCGTTAAGCGTCTGCCTTCGGCTCAGGTCACGGTCCCAGGGTCCTGGGATCGAGCCCCGCATCGAGCCCCGCATCGAGCCCCGCATCGGGCTCCCTGCTCCGCGGGAAGCCTGCTTCTCCCTCTCCCACTCCCCCTGCTTGTGTTCCCTCTCTTGCTGTGTCTCTCTCTGTCAAATAAATAAAAATAAAATCTTAAAAAATAAGTAAATAAAAGGGCCCTGAAGGGGGAAATTTCATGTTTCTATTGTCTCCCTGTTTCCTTCCTGCAGGAACCAAGGATTTCCCCTGAAGATCTGTCAAATGTCTATCCTGGGAAGAGGCGGCTGGAGGGGAGAACCCTCCTCCCCGGGGTTCCTGCTGCCCCCAGGTTCCTCAACCCTGCAGGGCCTTAAGAATCCATCCCCGTGGATTCTCTTCCTTTGCGAAGCATTACCTCAAGTCCCCATTTATTCCTGGGAAAACAACACTCCAGGAAACAATTTTGCTTGCCCCTGGTCACCTTCCTTTTTCTCTTCCAAATAAAGTCAGATTAAAGTGTGCTTTTGTTTTCTTCTTTACACATCTCTCCAGCCCTGGGTGTGCCACTCAAGCTAGCCTAGAGCGCCTGTTTTGCTGATTATTTTTTTAAAATTCCAAAGCGTTTGATTGGCATGTTGTTAAAAGCAAAGACTAAATTTTCTTCATGTTAAAAAAAAAAAATGAATCTCTTCAATGTATTTTTCTGCCTATTTTTTTTAAGTTAGCTTTACACCAACGTGTGGCTCAAAATCGACCCCAAGATCAAGAGCTGCGCGCTCCCCCGACTGAACAAGCCAGCTGCCCCTTTTTCTGCCTATTTTTAATCTCTCAATATACAAAAAGACATACAGGTGGGGATGTGAAGTGGTGCAGTCACTATGGAAAACAGTTTGGCAGATCTTCCAAAAGAACTACCCTATGACCCGGCGATTCTAAGTCTAGATATATACACTAGGGAATTGAAAGCAGGGACCCAAATGGATACTGGCCCAGCCATGCTTACAGCAGCATTATGCACAATAGATAAAGGGGGGCGCCTGGGTGGCTCAGATGGTTGGGTGTCTGCCTTCGGCTCAGGTCATGATCCCAGGGTCCTGGGATCAAGTCCCACATCGGGCTCCCTGCTCCTTGGGAGCCTGCTTCTCCCTCTGCTTCTCTCTCTCTCTCTGTCTCTGTCTCTCATGAATAAATAAATAAAATCTTAAAAAAAAAAAAACCAATAGATAAAGGGTGGGAATTCAAGTATCAATGGGTGAATGAATAAACAAAACGTGGTCCATCCAGACACTGGAATATGATTCATCCTTAAAAAGGAAGGGATCCTGACCCCTGCTACAACGAGGTTGGACCTTAAAGACACTGGGTTTGGTGAAAGAAGACAGACACAGAAGGACGAACACTATGACCCTACTCATATGAGTTGCAGATAGTCAGACTCAGAGAGAACAAAAGTAGATGGTGGGAACCAGCAGGAGGGGGAGGGAGAGTGCAAATGGGTATAGGATTTCTTTCTGGTGTGATAAATATGTTCCATGACTAGATGGAGTTGATGGTTATGCCATAGTGTGCATGTGCTCTCTATGCCACTCAAGGGCACTCTCTAAAACAGTTAATTTTATGTCATGTGAAATTTGCCTCAAAAACATTTTTAAAGACATACAGGAAGAAAATATCTTTGGGGCACCCGGTGGCTCAGTGAAGTGTCTGCCTTCGGCTCAGGTCATGATCTCAGGGTCCTGGGATCGAGCTCTGAATTGGGCTCCCTGCTCAGCGGGGTTGGGGGGGCTGTCTCTTCTCCCTCTCCCTCTGTCGCTTCCCCTGCTTGTGTTCTCTCTCTCTCAAATAAATAAATAAAATCTTTAAAAAAAAGAAAAGAAAAGATCTTTGCTTCCCTATGTCCTATCTGCGTGCCACCTCCATCTCCTTGCAGGCCAGGAATGGACCAGTTCTCTGAAATCCTCTCTCTGCCACCTTCACAGGTTGGCTGGCCCCCAGCCCACCTGTCTGCTGTGTGAGGCCCCCCTCCCCCAGGGGACCCTGCTGTCAGGCTGTCCATGCAGACACGGGGCCTATAAAATGCATCCCTGCATCCACACAAAGAACTCCACTCTGGGCAGGAAACCCAAAGGAGACCTCCCCCACCCCAAATCTTCCTAACAGAAGTCAAGCACAGAGTCTGCATCCAAAGGGCAGCGCTGAGTCCAGGAGGGGAAAGGCAGGGCGGTCCAGTGAGCAGAGCCAGGCAGCCACAGTGGCCCAGAGCTGGAAGCCCCCCACGTGCCGGGGATTGGAAGTGTTGTGCTTTGCCTGCTAGGCACCTAACTGCTTTTCTGCACAGGGCAACCCACCTTTTTTGTCCATACAGTTCCTGGGACTGCTCTGCCACCTCAGCCCCATCAATCAGAGCATTTCCCTCCCCCTGGGCTCGGCGATTGGTTCAGAAACGGAGTTGTGACTCAACGGGACCAATGAGAGTCAGCCTTGGGATTTTGTTTGAAATACAAGCGGAGTCCTTCTCATCGTGCTGTAGGTTTAAAGCCTGGAGGTTCCAGAAGTAATTTTTACTACCCAATAGTGGAGCTTGTCTGAGAATTAAGCCCCAACAGAAGAGAACAGATCCCAAGGGGAAAGAGAGGTCCATGCCTTGGTAACATTGTTTGAGCACCTGGATCTAGCCCTGACTAAATCAGGAGCCCTTGGGCTTTCCTGCGTTTTGTCTTGTTTGGTGTGGTTTTTATGACTTAAGCTAATTTGAGTTATGATTTCAGTCCTTTATAAACCACGAGCTTCAGTCAATAGGGTCCCTTCTGTTTGACATTGCTCATCATGTAGCACCTTTCACAAGTCACATGATCCTCAAAACTCACGGTGACAGGCAAGTCGTGTCCAGAACCAACAGGTTGGGAAAACCTGGGTATTGGTTCCCTAATTGTAAGCTGAGTGGCAGCAGAAAGTGCCCTGGAGTGTCGGAAGCCTGGGTCAGCTGCTGACAGGCGGGATGGCCATAAGCTCTTCCATGGACACAAAGCAGCCAACAGATGAGTCTGGAGAGGGGAAGGGCGTCCCTACAAGCCTGCCCCTATCTCCACGGGGCCGGGGTGAAAATCAATGTTCCTCACGCCAAGTTGTGCGGCTTTTGTTTATCTGGCTCATCATCCTGTTGATGTCAGGATGCTCTGGACGTTGGTGTGCGCCAGGTGCTTCCCACTCTGTGGGGATCCTCAGACCAGGCTCTTCCTGGAAACGCAGGGGGGAGGGGGAGGAGCATTTCCTTCAATGCCTAGGGAAGGCCGATTAAAGACACCGGAGATCCGAAAGGAGGGAAAGTTGCCATGTCCTGCTTCCTGAAGATTATAGGACACTTTACTGCCCCCAGCAGGTCCCTCTGCCTCGACAGCTAGACTGCAGGAGCGCTCCTTGCCCCTCTGACGCTCACGCACCCACCCACACGTGATCACACGCCAACCATCTGTCACTTCCCCCGCGGCCAGAAAACACTCGCTTCTGAAAAATAAACTGAACCATCCTAAAGTTCTAAAACCCAACCTCCTTGCTCACATCTCTTTAACCCTTACTTGGCACAGAATTATAGAACCCACCTGGTTCTCTGCTTTCCCAGGCCCCAGAGCTGAGACTAACAACAACAATTAGTTACCATTAATATTTACAGAGTGCTTGTTTCAAAGCACTTGACATCATCTCCTTTCTCCTCAGGGCAATCCTACACAGCAGGGCAGCAAGTAGCCTCCTTTTAAAGATGAGAAAACTTTGCATCCACCGTCCTTTGGATCACTTGACGCTTATGATTAGGTTTACGCGCGTGCCTTCCCCACTCACACCCCAAGGCAGGGTTTGCTTGCAGTTTGGGTCGAGGTGCCCTGTCCAGACAGGGCCTGAGTTCCATGACCTTGAATGACCTCTTCACGATTCATGGGGCTGGAAATGCACCCCAGGGGGCACAGAGTTCCAATGGACCTCGCCAAAAGCCCGGCCATGTGGGCCTGGGGTGCCAGGAGAAGCCCCATTTCGGGTAGTCCTTATTCTGTCCCAGGCTACCCTTTGGTCTGATAGTCTTCCCAGCACTTGTTACTACCTGGCGATATCTTATTTATCTAGACTGTCGGCTTCACCAGAGCTGGCAGTTCTGTTCATGGTGGTGTCCGCATCACCTGTCCCAGAGTGAGTGCTCAATACAGGCGGCCAGCCAATGTTAGGATTATTACTATTAATATTCTAACAAG